GACGTAGTTCACCGCCTACATACGCATACATTTTTGGTGGTGGCATTGTGTGTGAGTTTTCCCCCTATTTCTGGCTTTTGGTAATGTGAGATTATCTATTGCCTATGTTTTTGGGAGTGTAGTTAATTTCCTTAGGTTGGAGTTTTCCTTCTAGAACTTTCTGTATGCCTGGATTTGTGTAAATCTGGTTTTGTCATGGAATATCTTGTTTTCTCCATCTATAGTGATTGAGAGTTTCACTGGGTATAGTAGTCTGGGCTGGAGTCTGTGGTCTCTTAGTGTTTGTAGAACATCTATACAGGACCTTCTGGCTTTCAGAGTTTCCATGGAGAATAGGGTGTCATGAACACTTTCTATATTAATTCCAGTTATACAATATATAATCAACATGTGAGGAAGGTAGGGTTTTTATTTGGGGAGACTTTTTTTCTTTTTTATCTGGCCAATATGTAAAACTTTTGCTCTGGTTTTCAAAAGACACCAGTATTTCATGGCATAATCAAATACTGATGAAACCAGAAAAGAGGGGCTATAAAAAATGAGAATGAATGGCAAAGTGAATTGTAGGAATATGTAAATGGTTGAGGGTTACCATGGAAACAGTAAGGAAACTAAGGTCTAAAGGAAAAGTGAATTGTAGGAATATGTAAATAGTTGAGGATTACCATGGGAAGCAGTGAGGAGACTAAGGTCAAAGAGGGTTTTCTGTGGTGTGATGTTCTGCATTTTTCTTGTGTTATTATATTGTAAAGTGTAATTAAATACTTCGAAAGCAAAACAGGATGGTTATATAGGGAGGATGATGGGAGAAGACTGTGCTTATGGCAGTTCCCATGTTATTCTATTTCCATGTTCATTTTATCCTTTCTCCTCTTCCTTCCTTCCTTCCTTCCTTGCTTTCTTTCCTTCTTTCCTCCCTTCCTTTCTTCTTTATTCTTCCTTCCTTTGTTACTCTACTTTCTTTCTTCTTTGTTTTTTCTTTCTTTCTGTGTGTCTCTGTCTGCATGTCTTGTACATGAGAAAAATCTAGGTCTTCACACTTGCTAGGCAAGTGTTCTGCCACTGAGTTATATCCCTAATGCCCTTATAGTTCTTATTCTAAGACATGAAGTAGTTTTATTTTGCTCACTAAGTTGCCAGAGTTGGCCTTGAAATCACTCTGTAGATCAAGATGCCCTTGCCTTTATAGTTTTCTTGCATTGACTTCCCAAGTACCCAGGAAACAACCATATGCTACCATACTTAACTGCCTAATGCTTCCTTTTCTGCCTTCTCTTCTTCTCTTTGTCCTCCTCCTCCCTGTCCTCCTCCTCCTCCTCCTCCCTGTCCTCCTCATCCCCATCCTCCTCGTCATCCTTCTCCTCTTCATGCTTCTGAGACTTGAACAGAGGGCCTTATGCACCTAACAGGCACTCCACTGCTGTGGTACGTTACTAGCTCCTAAGCTCTTTTCTGTTTGTCTTTTTAAAGGAAAATTTTATCACATTAAACATTTTAAATTCGAATTACTATATAAGAAATCTATGAATAATCTGGGTTAGATAACTGCAAGAAATTTTGATTTTTTATGTTTGAACTATATAGTCTCCTAGGAAAACAAAAAAATTGTTTTTTTAAAGATTTGTTTTTTTAATTGTGTGACTATGTGTCTGTCTGTCTATGTTGTGGTTGTGCAGGTACCAACAGAGGCCAGGAAAAGGGTCTTGGATAACCCAGGATCTGGAGTTACGTGCAGTTGTGAGCTGCTCAACTTGGGTGTTGGCAACTGAATTTGGGTCCTGAGCTCTGGACTGTGCCATCAACTGTCTTAATATTTGTTTACCAATATGAGACAGCTGTGACTTAAGTGCATATATTAAGTCCAACATTTATACTAAATATCACTTTGAAACTGCGGTTTGAATCAGGTGATTAAAATGTTAAGCACTCAATTATTATCAGTAAAATATGTGAAGCAAAATGAGAATTCAGAAAGAAAACCATTTGGAGTTACTATTAGGATTTGGGGACGGTATGTTTTTATATTTGGTATTAACCACTGATGGCATTATTATATCAGAACTAACCATTAAAAATGCCCACGAGTTCTCCCCTAAATTTCTTCACCAGAGCCTCTCCCTGAGAAGACTTAACCCATTTGAACCTCCAAGGGGAGGAGCGAGGAGCAGGGAGTCTGTGCTTTAGAGTCAGGTACTCAGAGCTCTGCTTGTGTGTTAGGTGTGGAGTCCCCACTTCCCCCTGCAAAGGGAACAACTCGTTTTCACTGCAAGACTGCACTGAGACCAATGACACACCTGCAAATTTCCCAGTTACTGTAGGTGCTCAGTAAATCCGACTTTTCTTCTCCTTGGTGACATATCCCAGGAAGCCCATCTGACTTCTACATGAGGTTCTCAGTCCTTTCCCCGGCTGATCTGGGAACTGCCTGCCTGTAACCTACAAGTTTTTTGCTTACTTTCGTGGGGTTTCACAGCACAAATCTCATCCTTTGTCTTTGCAGTGGCACCTGAGCTGAGAACTAAGTAAACTGGCCCTGTCTACTACCTATGTGTGGTGTGACCTGGGAAAGGAGACTGTCCGAATCTAACCGCCTACACCAACAGATGGTGTAATTCAGGGGTGTTTGCTTAGCCCAGCTCAGTGCTGCATGAGCCAAGCAAATGTCTGAGTCACATCAAGTACAAGAGTCAGGATACCGCCACCTCTGCTCCAGGAGCATCGAATCTTTTGACTTTTTAACATGACTTGTGGACTTGTGTCAAGGGACACTATTCCCTAGGAGACCTGAACAAGTGTCTGCTCACTCCAGAGAGGAGCTGACAACAGATAAAAATAATGACACCACCAAAGTCACTTCTGGTGAAGCAGTGAGTTTATTAGTGTTGTTTATAGAAGTATTGACGATCCAGAGGCAGCTGCATCACCAGAGGCCATCCTAGCCTGGGTGACAGCTAAGGGAAGATGGAACCCTAAATTTCTCTGAGTGACTTACAGGCAGCTCACCAGGCTGGGGAGTCTCTCTTCTAGATGGCTGGGAAGAGCCTCCTCCATGGCAGTTGTTCACTGAGTCTAGAACCTTGGCCATAGCCTTGTGAATCTTTAACTTGTAATTCTCCCATACCTAAAAAAAAATTTTTATCTCCTCAGTGTCAATATCCTCCTCCAAGGTGGAGTGTTTCCACTCACAGGGGATTGCTGCACAAAAGCCTGCCATCTACAGATGTGTTGGGTTACAATGACAGTTATCCTGGACACATGTAACCTACTGGCCACATGTGGACATAACTGGGCCATTATAAACAGTAACCAGGCCTCCAGCAGCCGCACCGCACAATCCCTTCAAAGCGAAAAGCAATGCCTAACCTCGGGGCCGCTGGGCCTATGCTCAGTCAAAAGGACTTTCTCTGAGTCACTCTCAATATGTCTAAAAAGTAGCAGCCTACGTAGGTACCCAGGTGACCATTAATCCAAGTATCAACCAGGCTGACCCTGCTTAGCTCCTGAGATCAGATGTGCATGGGTATGTTCAGGATGGTATGGCTATCAACAGATCAATATGTTCTCAAAAGCAAATCCTACTTCATTTTCATTGTGCTTTTCCCTCTGAAAATAAAATAATTCACCAAAATAGGAATTCTACAAGTTGATTAGAAATACATACTGCAGGCACAGATCACAGGGTAAACTTGTTTCTTCCTTTAATTTAGGAAAGTTAATTGTTGTAGGGTGTTTATTGCTATGAAGAGACACCATGACCATGGCAAGTCTTATTTAATGAGGTCGCTCACTTACAGTTCACAGGTTCAGTCCATCATCAGCGTGCAGGCAGACATGCTGCTGGAGAAGTAGCTGAGAGTCCTACATCTTGCAGGCAACAGGAAATTGTCTGTCTGTCTGTCACACTGAGTGAAGCTTGAAGTGAAGTGCCCACCCCCTCAGTGGCACACTTCCTCCAACAAAGCCACACCTACTTCAACAAGGCCACACCTGCTAATAGTGCCACTCCCTTTAGGATTATGGGGGCCAATTACATGCACACTACCACAATAGTGTTAATTTTGGTTATTTTGATCTTGTAGCAGCTCATAGGTTGATTTTAAGAAGCATATGAATCTGTTGAAATTCTATGAAAGATGCTGTGGGGTTTATATGATGTGAATGAATTATAACAGACTCTGAAAAGAATAAAATCCCAAAGGAGACTGGCAATCATTAAACCCTGTTTGCATGGATGTAGCCCGGATCACAAGTTTTGGAAGGCAATACTGTTACACTTTGACCAATCCTGGTTTTGGTGTCTCCTAAATGCTACTTGTCTTCCCATGCGTCTTATGACTCCGAGCTTGATAACCTCTGCTGAGTCCTGACATGACTACACATAACATACCTGGTAACCCAGAGAGCACTGCTATAATTTGACCCAAATCTGATCCTCTCTCTGTCTCTCTCTGTCTCTCTCTCTCTCTCTCTGTGTCTCTCTCTCTCTGTCTGTCTTCCTCCCTCCCTCCCTCCGTCTCTTCCCCCTCCCCCTCCCCCTCTCCCTTTCCCTTTCTTTCTTTGAGACAAGGTCTTATGTAGCCCAGGCTGGTTGGAACTCACCGTGTAGTTCAGGAAGGATGCTTTGATGTTCTTTTGATCCTCCTGCTTCAACCTCTCAAGAGTTGGGATTACAGAGATGTGTCACCATGCCTGCCTGGCTTTCACTCTCAGATTAATGATAAAATGTACAGTGTGCCAGGCATTGGTGGCGCACGCCTTTACTCCCAGCACTCAGGAGGCAGAGGCAGGCAGATCTCTAAGAGTTCGAGGCCAGCCTGCTCTACAGATTGAGTTCCAGGACAGCCTCCAAAACAATACAGAGAAACCTCGTCTCAAAACACCAAAAAAAAAAACCCTCTACATTGCAGTGATTATAAGGCTTCAAGAAAACAATGCAGTGCTGTGATAATGAATTCTTACGTGTTTACACAAAGTTGTGTCCCTTTTTGTCTTCTCTGTAGGTCGGAAGTTTAAGAAGTTCAGTAAGGTCCGAGTTATGAGAGCTCTCGACGGTGTTGCTGTCCCTCAGTCAGTGGGACTTCCCAATGAGAGCCAGCCCATAGGCCAGAGAATCACCTTCTCACCAAGTCAGGAAATGCAGCTTATCCCTCCGCTCATCAACCTGCTCATGACCATTGAGCCCGATGTGGTCTATGCAGGGCACGACAACACGAGACCCGACACGTCCAGCTCTTTGCTGACCAGTCTCAACAAACTGTGCGAGAGGCAGCTGCTGTCTGTAGTCAAATGGTCCAAGTCACTGCCAGGTAATTTGTATGTAGTAGTATGCCTTAAAAGGTATTGTGTTTGTGGCACTAGCTGAATGTTAAAATAGTCTGCACAGGAAGTCAACCCATCACATAAACAGCACCGTATGTTTAGCAATTCAACATCCTTGTTAAAGTCTCACATGTGTGCTTGGTTCAGTTTGTAGAGCACTAGGTTAACACGCATAAACCCTGGGATCGATCCCCTGCAACACCTGCACACACACAAGATTCATACAGACAATGGAATACATGTTGACGATGGCTGATACTAACTACATGAAACAGCAAAAAGCGTATGTGTCAAACCACGAGTACAGTAATTCAGAAAAAGACATGTTAACCCACTCCTCACAACGTCAAGTTCATTCTAAAGCCCAACTAAAGTTGTGAGTCTGTTCAAGATAAAAGCAAATGTGCCTCTTCATGTAACAAATCAAAACAACACTCAGAGAACCTGTAATTTCTAGTCATTGAAGAATGCAAAGCATCTGATGTTAATAAGATGTTTGGAAAGACAAATGAGCTTCAATCACGGTTTTCTTGTCACTCCTATAGAAGGGGGATGCGGCCCAGCTGGAGTGAGGACTTGTGTGTTTTCATGGAAGTATTTCACTTATGTTATTAGCAAGATTTGTACCTCAGCACAGCTATTTAGCAGCCAAGTGGCTGGTAGAATTATGAGGATAAATTTCTAGCTCAGTTGAATCTTAGATGGCAGAACCAGGCAAAGACTAAAAATTGTTAGTGTGAGCCTCAATGTCCTGATTAGAATCAGAATAATTCTTTCAAAAAATCACATGCTCTTCACACCAATGACATCCTTGTACTGCTTATTTTTCTGACACATGGTCAAGAATTAAACACATTATGTCCTTTTTGTCCTGGAAGAAATTCAATTAAATTTTTTTAAAGAATTCCTTCCCAATTTGCCTGAATGTATTTCTTGGCTATTATTCTACCTGAAAGACTGGAAATACAATAGATGAATTGTTATTGAACATCCAAGGTTGTTTGAAACAGAAAACAGACTCTTGTTTGTTAGACTTCCAAAAAGACACATACTGAGAAAAGTTAATAAGCTTAGTGTTCTAATGGAGATGAAGTAATTCTGTGGATGGGTCAGAATGCCCAGGTTTCCATTCGCCTTATTGCAGCTAACAGGCCTTGGACAGGCAACTTTCTCCACCAAAGAAAGCTATGAATATTTAAAACTTACTGCGAAGTGACAGAACTTTACTAAGCAAATGTCATAATAGCATTGATGAAATAATTGTTCTTATATGGGTGTTCAGCTGTGGCTTTAATTGTTCATTTTTCCATCCTAAGGAGATGGTGATCCCTTGGCTGTTATTGCTATGGGTTACCACTTCCTTTGTTTGCATTTTTGGAGACTATTGTTGAAGGAGATTTACTGTCAGTTGTAAATTTAGAAAAGAAAGCAATTAAAAAGAACATTTATTCATTTTAGATTAAAGCTGTTTTTAAGTTAAGGTGTTTTATATCAAGATATTTTGACCTTCACACAAACTTAAAAAACAATGAGAAGAAATTTGTGTATTGAATTTGGTGGCAACTTTTTAAATGTTGCAGAATATAATTTATATGTGGCGAATCAAAACAACAGCCACAGCATCATGAGTCCCTCTGTTCCTGTTAATAATGCCCAAGGGCAACATTGAGATGATAAAACTTAGGGCGGCGGTGCTCTCTTTAAACCATACTGGCACAGTGCCTTTAATTTTTATTTTGTTTTTGGGGATTTTTTTTATTGAGATAGGATTTCTTTGTGTATCCTTGGTTACCCTAGAACCAGTTCTGTAGAGCAGAGCTTGCAGAACAGACACAGAGTTGGTCTAGGAGCCAGTAACTAGAGCATTCCTCTGAGGAGACCAGAAAAAGACAAGTGTTTGCTATTGTTCTCGTTGCCTTCCTCAGTGCTGTGGACCACGAACTAGTAACTCAAGGAAGCAAAAAGTTTATTTTGGCTCATAAGAGGGCAGTGTCAACCACACACGGAAGGTGTGGTGGTAGGAAGAGTAGAGCAACTGGTTACATTGTTTCCACAGCAACTGGCTACATTGTTTCCACAGTCAGGAGGGAGAGGGATGGATACAGGTGTTCAGTGAGCTTTCACCTTCCCATTCAGTCTGAATCCCAAGCGTGGATGGTGGGTCTTGTCTCTCAGCCGCACACGAGCCAGGGTTTTAGCTCCTTGCTGGTTCTAAATCCAGGCAGGTTAGCAAGCAAGAGTAACCATTAGCATGGCCCAGAGTTATTAGATACCCTGAACTGCTGCCAGCTGACGCTACACAAGGTTAGTCACACAAAGTTCTTACTCAGTGACTAATGAATGCCAGACACATACCTGCTGAGTGTAGATCCTAGCAATTAAATAGTGCTGCTGGGAAGAAAAGACAGATGGCGGGCACATGTCGTGATTGCACGAGATCTGGGCGCTGGCTATGCGCAGAAAAGAAATGTATTTTGTTCGGTTCCTCGTTTGCAATGATATTATTCGTTGGGTGGAAAAGAGATGTTTGTTAAAGGAGCCTTACCAGTAAGCCAGCTTGTGAAAGTGCATAGTCATAGGGGAAATGTAGCTGCATTTACCCATGCACATTCACTGTCGGAAAGCCCCCTGAAAGAAAAGCTCATTCTTTTGAGTGAATAAGGTGCGCATCAAAATCAAAGCGTATGTTCGGAGCGATTCAGTGGGTGCACTGGGTGTGACTCTGCGGGTGCTGAGGGTTCTTCATTTTCCTGACAGGGTTTCCTCTTTTCTTATTGGTCTCTTCTCTCACTATCGTTGATACCATGGTTATCATGTATCATCGTGTTACCATGGTTACAGCTAATTTTACTTCTCCAATAATATTCCAAAGGTTTATTTCAACTTAATGGGAACTTGTAAGATGCTGTAGCCTAAAGGTGTCATATTTATAAGCCACTTCATATAACACACTCCATTTGATGTCTAGCATCTGTTTGTGGATGACTTTATGTGGAATCTGTGCGTGCTTCGGTGAGCACTACATTTTTGGTTAAAGCATGAAGCAATGTGTCATCTGCAAAAATTTAAAACTTCACAGTACACATTTCCTCTATTAAAGGACTGTCAACACACAGAGAGATCTAGGGTGCCTAACAATAGCATAAGACACAGAAATAAGGGAAGCAGGGGCAGATGAATACCTTCAGCCTTGGGTTCTAAAAGAGGGAAGGAGAAATTGTGGAAGGAGAAACCACTTAGGTTAGAAGTATCCATGTGTCTGGGGGTGTAGGAAGGGAAAAATGTGAATAAAATTTGGTTAGTAATGAGCTAAAAAAAAAACCAGGAGACAGTGGCTCTCCATCTTTCAATGTGGGGATTCTTAAATAGCATCACAAAATTTTCAGTTGCCCCACAGAGAGGAATGACAGAGGTCAGCAATTGCTGTGAAAATGCATCTGGGTAGATTAACTCCTGGACACTGCTGCGGTAGGCGCTGGCCTTCTGAAGATTTCACCACCAAATTATTCAGAAACCGATGGCAAATGATTGTATGGGTACCAGTTGTGGAGAATAAAGGCACAGACAAAAATCATAGGCTGACCCAGTAGGGTCTTGAGGTCACAGAAAGAAAAAAATAAAGTAATAAGTATTCATTTCAAGCTCAAATTCACTCTTTTTGCCAGTAAACTGTAGAACTAAAGAGTAGAAAAGCACAGGGCAAACTTTTCCTGTCACTTCCCCATATTCGGTGACATAGCTACCCAAGGCTATGCTTTGGTGCTCTAACCATTGCCCACTTGAGCACGTCCCTTCCTGGTTTCAGTGAACCAGACTGTTTGACATAAGGACCTGAAGACAGGGGACAATATTCCCATTATTTTCTAGCTCTGAAGCATGAGTCAGTGACAGTGTGACAAGGTTTGTTTTTCTTTCTCCCCATGAATGAGTGAATGTGATGAGAGAGGGATGGAAGAGGCTTTGCTGGAAGTAAAATCTGACCTGACCAGAGTTTCTGCAAAGACTTTCACAAACTTCATTTCATTGAAATTGCCATCGTCTTTGTTGACCTTTTAAAACTGTTAGAAGTGGCATGACACACTTCAGCGATGTCTGTGGGTCTGTAACCTCTCCCTGGTGAAGCTCATCCTTTGGCATCCATCACTCTCCCTCCGGGTACCTGGCTTCTCAAACACATTTTTAGTCATTGCACGTTTAGTCTTCCACCCACACCAAACATCTTCCCCGTCCTGAGTTCTGTCCTCTACTCTGCTGGCTTCTCGTGCTACACACTTTGAATATGCACATTGGCAGCCTTGATGTTCCCGCTCCGCTCCAGTGATGCTTGAAAAATGGCATCAGCCTAGCCCCGTCAGGCATGTATTCCAAATGCTCGTAACACATCTCCACCCAGACGGCCTCCCAATTCCATAGGACTTTACGGTCCAAAGGCCAAATCCATTTCTCTGTACCCCAAAATGGCATCCCAGAGTCCTTCAGAACCTACTTTGCTTCTCCCCTCCTGCATCCCCTGAAGTTGTATCAACGCCTCTTATGCACTACGTGACTCATTATAATGCGACTCTCATGGCTACTGACGCAGTTTAGTTTGGTCATCAACCTTTCTGTCTGTACCTACACTTCCGTTCTCAAACAGTCCTCGACTCTAACCCAAGAATCAGCTTTCTGAAATAATTCAAATCAGTCGTGTTTTCTCTTTTCCATTTCAGAGTAGAGTCTACATCCTGTATCTTAAAAGCCACTGGGTTCCTTGGGTTCAGTTCAGTGATTAATTGTGTGTTTGCCTCTGCTTCCATCAGTCACAGGATGAAGGCTCCCGGATGGTTATAGATATCAAGTTCATTATCAGGAATGGGCATTCGAGGTGGTCTCTCCACTATTGCTTATCTTGCCAATTGGTGTTATCCCTTTAGATCACTCGAGGTCACTCTGGTGCCTGATCTGTATTCGATCCTATGATTCCCTCTTCCCCCTATTATACCCCCAC